AAAACCCAAGTATGGTCAACTTATTCATTCCTTTTAACATCTTTCACAAACACATAAAGACCTTTGCCTCTCTAAGACAAAAGTATTCTCTAAGCTACTATCACCTCACTCTCTTGACTCCCATCACCCTCAAAAGCCCCCATCCCCTTGGCCCCTTTGTCTGGTTATATTTTACTTGATATGACTCAGTTCAAGCTTCCCCTCTCACTTCTGGGAGGCCCTTTCTTAACTGTTTTTTGTGATGGCTGAAGTTCCACTCTTAACACACTCTCCTGTATTAGTATATTTCCTGCTCAGCCAGTAGAGCTCCTTGAGATCAGGATCCACATCTTATTCCCTGCATACCCAAAACACAAAACCCTTCATCTCATTAAAGGATTTAATGGAGAAAAGCCATAGAGTTTAGGTCATGCTTTTATTTTTCGACAGCTCTGTATGAGAACATAGGGGTACCAAGAAATAATGGCCATTTTTAAGAAATATTTAAGGCAGAGCTACATTGGTATTCTCTGGAAAATATTACCTAAAGTTCCTGGCAGCTAAGATGGCCACAGGAAATGGATTATAAGCTGTTCTCACTTCTTGAGATCTACCTCACTTGGTGACGCTTCTCTTTTTGGTGTTGAGTACATAAATATTTGTTGAATGAATAATATAAACCAAATATTAAGCTATGTGTCAGATACTGGCACTAAGTTTACACAATAAAAAGAATGAAGCAAGGGATTACAGCACCTTCCTCCATGGTGCATTTTATTTTTTATATATACATGTATAGCAAGTTTATTTCTATAATGAATTAATAAAGGACATTTCAGTTATACTCACCTCGAGTGCTGCTGTCCATCAGCAGCAGGTGCTTCTGGGTACTCCTTTGCAGCTTACCTTAAATTCTTTGTCTGCCAGAGTCCTCATTAGGAAACTCAATGGATTATACACATACAACTCACACTTCCCTCAGCAATGATCAGTAATAAACTACAGTAAAAGCTTGAGTAACCAACAGATGGGAACAATAAAGAAGGAACCAGTTATATTAATCTATATAACCAAGTATAACTCATGAGGGACAAAATGATCTCATTCTTAATTTCCTTTTCTCTAAGATATATGAGTTATAAATATGTAAATCACTTCTATTCATGAAAGTCTTAGTTCTTTCATCCCCTATGGCATCCTACTACTAACCACTAATAAAGTCCTTTCCGTTAACATTATAAGGCACTAGGCCTGACACGTACACGATTAAATACATTCATGGCACAGTGAGCACAAACAGTAGCATGCTTAGTTTAAGATCATTGCAAGTATAAGTTACGTAAAAGTGGGGTAATTTGGGTGAATCAAGACTATTGAGGAAAAGGAACTGGCAATTCTGGTTCTGGCAAAGCTCTAGCTGGTGTTCCTACAGAATCACTTACATTACCCATTCTAATTCTACACTTTTACAGATGAAGAAACTGAAGCCTGCAAAGGCTCAGAAAGTGGCCCAGGTTGATGCAATATGAAAGTACAAAGCTATACTAGGGCCCTGGTCTCAAAATGACTAGGCCAGTACTCTTTTGACTTGAATATTATGCCCACAGGAGCTACTCCCTCTAAAGAGCACACAAAGATGTTGGCCAGGGAAATGTAAAGAAATGGGTATTTAAAAGTTCAAATACCGAGATGGGTATACTTTAGAACATCATTTCAGTATCTGTGGTTATCTTCTCATGAGAAGATGAATGCTCCTACCTTCAACATTAATAACTTGGGGGCCGGGGATTTAGCTCAGTGGTTCTGGCACCTGCCTCACAAGCGCAAGGTCCCAAGTTCGATCCCCGGTACCAAAAAAAAAAAAAAAAAAGTAAAACATTAGTAACTTGAGTCTAAGAGTTTCTCTTCTTCATGGAATGTGCTTATAAATTTCATTTATGAATGCCATCTGTCATCCATCTTAATCACTTTAAGTCTACTTTTTAAACAACAATATTTGGCACATATACATTATCACAGTATTAATCCTACTCTACAAACACTTAATAGATGTGGCAGAATTTGGTCAAGGATTGCAATGCCAAATCAATGAAAGTGATACTTTGATTCACAAACTCAATTCTCTCTACAATTCTGGTCACAAACTGAACTAGATGAGAACCAAATCAAATTTTCCCATGAGGTCAACATGGAACCTAACCACTGAATTTGACTCAGTTCTCGCCCAACTTGGTTTGTGAACAGAACCACAGAAAGAATCAAGTTCATGAACCAAGATAGTACTGTATTTGGTTAGTGAAAGCTTCCAGAGATCCTTGCAGCTAAGATACAATTTACAACTGTTCCTAGGAAATATTTTACTTAATTTAATTCTAGTCTTTTTTCTTATATTCTTTCTCACTCACAGGGAATCAAATGTACAAAGAATTCAGCTACACAAAATTCACTGGAAGTTTACCATCAAAATTTTCCTTGATAAAAGTGTAAGAAATCTCTCATGTTCAAACAGGAAAGTGACTAGTAAAGGAGGTCAACTGAAAAAGGAACTATGAGTACACAAGAATCAAACAAACTAGCTATATTACACACACTGAAAAATTTTAAAGAAAGACTGAAATTACTCTAGTGGAAATCTAGCATCTCTAAAATCCAATATCTAATATTAGTTTTTCTTTTCATAAAAAATTACTGACTGTAAGCATGTAATCTTTATTTTAACTGAAACATTCTGACATGCAACAGACAAATTGAGAATTACAGAATAGTCAATGAAGAATACATTGAAGGCACATAACAGACATGAAGAATGAGGGTTCTAACAGTACTGTTAAAGCTCAGAATTTAGAAGACTTCAGAAATACAGAATTACAGAAGACAGAGACAGTAAACCTATCACATTTTAAGAGTAAATGACATTTTATAAAAAACTAAATTAATTTTAAAGTATAGATTTCTTTCTTAAAAGTGTTTTTATACAAATAAAATGATAGTGCAAATCAGCCTGTCAAAATGAAAAGAATGTAAGAGTTAGAAGAGACTATAGTAATTGTATCATCTCTTCCACTCCATTTTACAAATGAGAAAAGTGAGGCTCATTAGTAACTTTGGCTGATAAACATTTAAAGTTTTCTATACTCTCAAATAATACATTAATTTAATTAATTTCTATTTCATTATACTGACATCTGCCTAGACAGTAACTTAAAGATATTATATTATGATCTAAGTACTCTGAAACTTTGTAGATTTTGGTCTAAAAAAGTCAAGAATAGAACTATTCCTTTAAAATGTAAATTCCTCATTTTCATTTTAGAATACCATCCATTCTTATAAAATTATTCTATGTGGCAGGTAAGCTATAATCAAAGACCAAAAACAATGTGCTAGTGAGTTTATAAGATGTCAGAAATTTTGATAACCCTTAAGGATCTGTACTTTACTTGGTTTTTTTGGTACCAGGATTTGAACTCAGGACCTTGTGTTTGCCAGGCAGGTGCAGCACCAATGAACTAAATCCCTGACTCACCTTCCTTCTCTTTCTCTCTCTCTCTCTCTCTCATTCTCTCTCTCTCTCTCTCTCTCTCTCTCTCTCTCTGGCCCAGGCTGGCCTCAAACTCAAGGTGATCCTCCTGCCTCAGCTTCCCAAGTGCTGGGATTACAGGTATGCACTACCGCACCTGGCAATTGTTTCTTTTTTTTTTTTTTTTGGTACCGGGGATCGAACTCGGGACCTTGAACTTGCTAGGCAGGCGCCGGAACCAATGAGCTAAATCTCTGGCCCCAATTGTTTCTTTACTACACGTAAAACAACCATGATACAAAACTAGCTTAATAAAATGTAAGGAGTGCCTATTACATGAAAGACACTCAAATGATCTGGCTGGCTACAGTCAAGTCAAATTTAAAGGTGGTTATTTCAATTCCAAATAATGTGGTAATACATTATTCCAGAATTTTTTGGAACCTGGTTGTGTACTGTCTAAAAGTTGTTTTGGCTGCTCTGCCATTTTGAACCTCTGCTCTTTCCCCTTTCCCTCTGGGTTGGCAATCAGCTTTCTTTGATATGGTCTATGTTTGTTATATTTCATAGATCGTTTTATTTTGCTCACATTTGATTTTTCTCCATCACCCTGCCTTTCATTCTTTTTACCTTTCTCTTGGTACTTCCCCTCTTCTCCCTTACTGTTTACTTCTCCCTCCTTTTTCCCATCTGTCCCATTTTCTTCCCCTTCCCTTTCTCCTTCCTCCCCTTCTTCCCCTTCCTCCCCTTCTTCCTCTCTTTCCTCCCCCTCTCCTTTTCCTTTCTCTCCTTCTCCCTCTTCTGCCTCTTCTTCCTGTCTTTCCTCCCCTTCTCCTTCTTCCCCTTCTTCCTCTACTCCTTCTTCTTCCTTCTCTCCTTCATCATCTTCCCCCTCCCCTTCATCATCTTCCCCCTCCCCTTCATCTTCCTTTTCTCCTTTCTCTTCTTCCTCTTCATCCTCCTCCATTCCTTCCCCCTTTCCTCCTTCTCCTTCCTCCTCCTCCCCCTCTGCTTCTTCACTGTCCTTCCTCCTCGCTCCTTCCTTCTCCCCTTCTTCCTTTTCCTCATCTCTTCCCTCCTGTACCTCCTCTCCTTCAGTCTCTTTCTCCTTCCCCTCCTTTCCCCTCTCCCTCTCTCCCTCTTCTGTCCTTTCTCTTTCTTCTTTTCCTCCTCCCTTTCTCTCCTCCTCCTCCTCTTCCTCTTCACCCTCTCCTTGCTCCTCCACTTCCCCTTCCTCCATCTCTTGGTTTCTTTCTTCCTGGTAGCCTTTGTCTCTTTCTAATTCCTCCTGTTCTTCATCATTCCCTTCCTCCTCCTCCTCCCCTTCTAGGTCCTTTTCTTCCTTATCCAGTTTCTCTATTTCTGCTGCTCCCTTATCTTTATCCCCCTCCTCCCTTAGCCACTGCTCCACTCCTGAACTACCCTCTTCCCAGATTTCATCCCCTCCACCTTTAGGCCCATCTTCTGCCTCTCCCCCTGACTCTTCCTCACCTTCACTCACCGCTGCTCTGTCTGTACAGTCATCTGACAGGGTCTCTGCTTCCAACTTTCTTCCTCCTTGAACCTCCACGTTTTTCTTATGTGCCTCTACCACTTGCTCCTTTACTGAAATTTCTTCTAAATCCTCTGCTTCTTCCTGTTCCTGTGGTATTACTGGCAAGTTATTATACTTAAAATTATATTCAGCCACGAAACTAGATACTCTGAGATTAGAATTAAGTTCTTGCTTGTTCAGTTGTCTTTTGAGCCACAAGTCGTGGTCAGTTTCCACTTTATCATCATTATGTTCACTACTAAATTCTATTGACTTGGGCTGCTGGAAACTGTCAGCTTTACCCTGCTGAATGTGGCTTTCATGTTTCATGTAACTCTCTGGCTCTTCCATCAATTCTGTTTCACTGTTAAAGATCACATCTTGCTTCCTACTTTTCCTTTCCTTAACAAAACCCTCATTTTCTTCATTCTCAGTATTCATGTCTTTATCTGATAAACCATCAAATAATGTATCATATTTTACACATTTTAGATTCTTTTCCCCTTTTCTTATACCATTCAGATCTGTCTCTTCCATCAGCTCAGTTTTCTTCTCAGAGATTATTTCTTCTGCATCATTTTCCTTTTCTATTTCTTTAGCATCAAGTTGATGAACACCACTTTTATTTTCATGACTAAGTATCTCTTTTTGCAAATACTTTTCATTGGTGCGGATCTGAGGCCCCACCTGATCTGAGCCATTACCTACTTTCTCATTTGAAAATGCTTCCAAAGTCTCAGCTGCTTGCATCATGAGGATCCCTTTTGCTACCTCTTTATATGCTTTCTCTTTTTCCATTTTTGACATTTCTTCATTTTCATATTCATTACTATCATCACTTTCAGTACAAGCTGTATCCCGCATCAGTTTCTCAACTGTGTCTTGATTCTGTAAATGTTTTGAAGTAACTGTCATACTACTATTAGTGAACAAAAGTAACTTATCATCTATAAAGTATTACTGGCAAGATTTTACATTTTTATAAGTTTTACTAAGAAAATAAAAATTTCTACTTTTACTAGTCATTTTGCTGAGGTTTTGTTTCCTTCAGGGATAATTTGTGCCACTCTCTAGGTGTATAGTACTTCTAATTTTGATTTAGTAATACAAATCTGTTTAACTTTCAATTCTTAGCACATGCATTAATTTCTCCATTAATAATGGTACCATTCATATTTATTCTCTGCTCCTTAATCTGAATCAATCCCTATATGATTCGTTTCCAGACCCTCTTTGGAAGATTATTTTTAAAAATTTACATTGTTCTTGAAGCTCAGTATGTTTTCTACCTTCTGTTGTCATTTTTATTTGTAATTTTGATTAGTTTCTTAAGTCCATGAAATTCACAAAATTAAAGAAAATGAAAATTAAACAAATAGCTGATTTCTACAGATAAAACTTAAATGAAAAGTATACATAAAAATTTTAATCTACATATTAAGTAATAATGAATGCATTTTTTTAAAAATCACTAACAAAAAACACTCAAGGTAAAATGTAAGATTTGTATAAAAACTATGATATCAAACATTAAGATCTGAATAATACATTAACAATATGAAATGATTTCCTGTTGAACAAAATAAGGCAAACCCAAATTGTTGAACCAAATTCTCCAAGCTAACAGACTCAAAGATCTACTAAATTTAAGTCTCTGGGTGGTAAAACCTCACTAAATAAAATTTATAAATTGTACTGAGAAAGGCCTACAAAGAGGTTTATTTTTTTCCCAAAGAAATTATTAAAACAGGACAAGTTACAAATTAATAAGCTAATACATATTAATGGTATAATATAGTATTACAAATATCTTTTACTCAGTAAAATAGATCTAGTAAAGCCTAAACAGAGTATGCAAAGTATGAAATATATACATACATATAAATACAAATATATATATGCATGCTCATAAGGAAGAGCTTTCCTCTATCTGTTCACGTTCTGTTCTTTAGAATCTGACAACTTGAAAGTTCTTTTGAGATCTCTAAGAGATATAGTCTGCTCAACTGTCAGAATTCATTTCTAAATGTATGTGCCTTTCTGTAGGATTATAAAGCAGCACACAAAAGGCAAAACTTAGAATGCAAGAAAAAAAGTCACAAGAAAGATGACTGCTTTGGAAGTATAGACTAATAAGGATTGGCTCAAACTGTATGTAATTTAGCAAGATTGTCTTCAGTTTCACTGGTATTGATTTTAAGGACTTGTAGTAATAGCATATGTACTAGCAATATAATTAAATGTTTTTGATAGCCTTTGTTCCTCAATTCATTTTTCTGCTTTATTTTCCTAATCCCCAAACTCCCCATTATTTCACTCCATTGGCCCTTAATGCCAAGAAAAGAAAGAATTTCGAGGTAGGTCTTTATTTCTCCAGGATTATGGAAACCAGACTATTCCTTTCTTTTGCTATTCATTATTAATTAAAAGTCTCTTTTACTCATGAACAATTTTTAATTTCCAAGTTTATTTTAATCATGTTTGTATGCTATCCATTCCTTGATAAAACCCAATCCAAAAACTGGAAACATCATGCTTGCTTCTGCAGCACATATACAAAAGTGGAAATGTGATTAACAAATTTGTTCACTAAAATCACAACATTTTAAGCTAGAAAAGATGTTAATATCATCCAGTAAAGTCAACCTAGTATCATTACTCAAAGTCATACTCAATCAAAGTCAGAGAGCCACTCTGATAAACAGTAGCCTCTTCTTATAAAACTGCATTTATAATCTATTGCTTGACAACAAGAAAACTATAGCTATTCCAGCATTGAAATTCTATCAATTTTGTTGTATCACAGAAAATACATACCAACAGAACAAGCCAAATGGAGGTCATCTACATTGTACTCCTCCGTTTTTTCAATTCTGAAGTAAATGCTTACCTTTCTTGTATTCTTTCCATAAATCTAAGAAAAATAAACTGTCCATATTCATTATAATAAAAATAACTCTCCATATTATACCTTTTGTTTTTGAATTGGCGAAAATTGTAATGACTTGTCATTGGAGTTCAGGCTCATCATGTGTGTCTGAAATAAATAAAAACGTATGTTCCAAAATGAACAAAGACTATATGTATGATTACAAATGCACACATTTTAAATATATATAAATAAAATGAATGCAAAACTGTTCAGATAGTAATATAACCTACTCTCGATAGCCATCCTAATGTGACAGAAACAAATTCTATTGTATGAATTCTACCTCATAAAGTTGGTTAAAAATTAACAAAATGAAACAAAAACAAAGCAGCAGCTTCTTGGAGAACATAGAACGCAAACACACAATCATGATGAACTAAAATTCAAATCAAATTAATATCTGGATAGATGAGGAAGTATTACCATATTTAAGACATCAGTAGTTTCTCCCAAGCTTTCTGAATCTGCTGATGAAATATTTTCTGTCTCTCTGTCTTTTGTCAATTTATCTTGAAAAATGTCTGAATGATTAAAAGGGAAAAAGGAAATCCAGGTTTCAACAGGAAAGTAAAAAGGAACTGTACAAAAAATAGAAATTAGAGCATGAGTGTAATTTTACCAAAGGTCTTAATCTCATGGCAAGAGTTAAACAGAAGTCATTCACAGTAATAACATGTTTTTAAAATTTTCTGAAAGTTTCAAAACTTACACAGCAATGAGACAACTGCTTCATCCACAGGGACAGGCGAACACTATTCCTTTGGGATAAATACTACCCAAGGTTAGCCTTCCTTATATTCTTACCTTGAGTAACTCCACTTACACACTGTACCAGGTTGATATCTATGTGTATGGTCAACTTAACAATGCCAACATATTGTCACGTCATTGTAGCTTTTGTCTTGGTGACACGTATGCATTCTCATTCTCATTCATATTCAGATCCCCCCCCCAATCTCATCTTTTCCTCTGGGGGGAAACAATATGAACAGAGAGGCCTATGTGGTGAGGACATGAAATCTCCTGTCAATGGCCACGTGTCAGTCAAGGCTTCAGATAACTGCAGCCTCATCTGCTAGTACAACTGCAATCCCATGAAAGACCCTAAGCCAGAACAACCCAGCTAGGCTGTAGCAACAAATGACTAGTTCAAGGACCTAGGACCTGTCACAGAAAATTCCAAGTTGCTGCATCATAAAGCAGATAATTAAAAGTCATAAGCTCTATTTGACATTATATTTTTTTTAATTTCTCACTATATCCTCTTCGATCACCTGTCCTTTTATTTGAGGGGAACTCCTTAATGAAGTCTGCTAAAAATGGTGGGGTAAGCTGATCTGTTTTAAATCTATTCATTGAATGAGCAAGTAGTCATTTAGTACTTATTCCATGTGAGATAATATGCAGAGATGACAAACGCTATTTTTTTGTTTTTATTGTTTATATTTGAGGTGTACAACTGTTTTCATATACATATACATTTAATAAAAATTAGCACTGTTGTAATTGCCAAATATTACTAAACCTACAGCCTAGAAGGGAATGTAAAACACATGATATAGGGGAAAGAGAAATCAAATCCAAATGTTTGGAATCAGAAAAGGTTTCACTTACAGAAGCATAGAGGATGAGTAGTGTTCTGACAGAAATGGAGGTGGAAAAGGAAAAAAATGAAGCCTATTCATAATAAACAAAGGAGCAGGGGGAAAAAAGGACATACAGGGAAGCAGCTTGTGTTGAAGGCTTCCCATGTGCCAGTAACATGGGCCTTTATATACGCTAGGTTAACAAGAAAAGTCAGTATTATATTTCATTTTACAAATTCGGGAAAATAAGCTTCAATGACCTTTGTGGAGCCCAGTGTCAATCTCAGATCTGTCTGACTCTGCAGCCCATACTCTTTTCAATAAGTCAGATTATAAATTGCTTAGTTTGAACAAAATTGGGTCAGCACAGTTTTTCTCCAAAAGGCCACATAGTGAATATTTTAGGCTTTGTGAGCCATACAGTCTTGTCCTAACTTAACATCTAATAATGTAGTATGGAAATAGCCATAGGCAATATATGAAAGAATGGATATTGCTGGGTTGCAACAAAACTTTATTTACAAAACAATGTGGATGGCTAGATGTGGCCCATGGACCACAGTTTAGAGATTCCTGATAGAAATAAAAGTTATAAGACAAACATTACTGAGAGATGAAGCAAAAAAAGCAGTTGAAAATGTTATGGGAAAAATCTTCACTGATTTTCATAAATATTAGCAATTCTCTGAACACAGTGAAGCAGGTAAGAATTAAACTGCATTTAAGGAATAGTAACATGAAAAGTGTTACACAGACAGAATGTAGAGGGCAGAGAATTTAAGTTTAGAAAACATAGTGTAATTCATTTATACTGATGGCCTTGTGTCGGACTTGACTGAGAAAACAGACATTACCAAACCTGATCCACCTGTTCTTACCAACAAACACACACAATTACCTACATTTGTATCCAAGTTCTAATTTTCCTGCTAAAATGTAGGGCATCTTTCCTGTAGCAAAGATTGCTGTATATGCCAGCCTCTTCAGTTTTTGGAGAGCTCTGCATCTTGTTTCTTGGGCTACCAAGCTGTTATGAACATCTCCACTGGCATACAAATGTGCTTTAGTATTTCTCACCACTGATCGCACAGTTCTCTCTAGCTGCCAGCCCAGAGGTCTGGGCTACTTCATGACCAAACAGACAAAATAATGACCTAGACAGCCTATCTCCTTTCACTTTCTCATTCCTCATTCATGCCTCAAGTGTTAACCTTCTAGCTTCTTTCCAGATCTTCCCCTGGAACTGCTCTTGTTGAGGTCACTGGTAATCTCTGATACCAAATCCACAGGATATTTTGACCTTTTAAGCTCTTTTTTCTTGACCTTTGAGCAATACTTTGCATTCATGACCCTACTCTCTAATTTCTCTCCTCTCTCCTTATTCGCTGATAAGACTGAGGAAGGTTTCTTTGTTGGTTCTTCCTCTTCTACCCTCTAAATGGTAGATGTATTTTAGAACTACAATATTGGACTCGCTTCTCTTCTGACTTTACTCTCTAGCAGATGATTTCAACAACTGCCATGGATTTTCAATACTGTACCATTTCTGTGTTGATTATTTTCAAGACTGTATCTCTGGTCCAGAGCTCTTTTCTGAACTTTAGGCTTGCATTTTCAACTGCCTGCTTGACATTTCGATTTGCACACCTCACAAACAGAGTCAATTCTTAAATTTCTTCCTCAGACTTGTCAAATGACCTGTTGCTTAGAAATTATCCTTGATTCTCCCTTTATTTCACACCTATGTGTAATCTATTAATAAGTTTACGAAGTCTAGTTGGACCTATGTCTAAAATATATTTCAAATTTGTCCCTTCTTCCCATCTCCACTGCAAACAGTTTGGTCCATACACCATTACCTCTTGGAAAAGGCTGACAAATATTCTTTCTACTTTTTCTATGATCCACACAGAGGCAAAGTAATCATCTTAAAGCGTAAATTGGATTAGAATACATCAGTCTATTCTAACACATTCAAGACAGGGTCATAATTCACATTCACACTGCTGGGCAGCTTGAACCACTGGTGATACACGCGTGACTGTCCCATACATGACTGCACTACTTCTACCACCAGTGGTAGAAGCTGCCCGATAGGACAGTCATGCATGTACCACTAGTGATTCAAGCCGGTGGGAACATATTAAAACCCATTAATTGCTTCCTAATATACTCAAGAAAAACATTCAAATCAAATAGGCCTCTTCTGGCTTATAACATGAAGAATAATTTTTCCCTTTGTCTTTCTCTAAAATCATCTTTTTCTGCTGGGTGCATCACTTCCTAGCCCAACTAGTCATCTTTCCCTTATATATTTCCTCCAAATCTTTGCCTGAAATCCATACATTCTGTCTCTTTGTGTGACTTTCTTATCCTTTTATTTTAGCATAAATGGTTCCTTCTGAGCAAGAACTACCCTGATCCATTTCCTTCCATTATAAAGACTAAAGTCTGCCAATGATTTAGAAAAAGTCACATTATATGTTGGCTATAACTTACAAATTACTTGTTATTATGTGTTTTAATAAAGTCACAACAAGGTAAGGGATGGCTTTTTTTTTTGATCCAGCTACAAAATTATGTATAGCTTCACATTTAAATATCTTAAAGTAGAAAACAACTTTCTCCAAAAGATAAACTTCTCTTTTCCTTTTACACACTGCTTGTCAGAATTTATTCCTATCTTTTCAATGTCCAGGGCTGAAGACTGCCACTGATACTTACTAAAAGAAACCACCAACAGAATGAAACGACAACCCACAGAATGAGAAAAAAATTTTACCAGCTATTCCTCAGACAAAGGACTAATATCTAGAATATATAAAAAACTCAAAAAAAATCAGACCCCCAAATTTAAAGCCCTAATCCAAAAAGGAGCATCTGAAATGTATAAGATACTTCTTAGTTGAAGAAGTACAAAGAGCAAATCAATATATGAAAAAATGTTTAACATCACTGGTCATCTGAGAGATGCAAATTAAAACAACACTGAGATTCCATCTCATTCCAGAAAGAGTGGCTATCATCAAGAAATCAACTAATAACAAATGCCGGTGAGGCTGTGGGGAAAAAGGAACCCTTCTCCAATGTTGGTGGGAGTGTAGACTGGTAGAACCACTGTGCAAATCAGTGTGGAGATTCCTCAAAAAACTAGGATTAGAGGTTCCATTTGACCCAGCTATGTCCCTTCTTGGTATCTTCCTGAAGAATTGAAAGCATCATACCACAGCAATGTATATACATCCATGTTTATAGCAGCACAGTTTGTAATAGCTAAATCTTGGAAACAGCCCAAATGCCCATCAACCAATGAATGGATAAAGAAAATATGGTTCTTATACACAATGGAGTACTACCCTGCCATAAAGGATAAACTTGAGACACTTTTAGGTAAATGGATGCACCTTTGTGAGATAAATCGTATACATACATTTAAATACATACTGTTTCTCTTGTGTGAAAAACCAAAAGGGTAAATAAGGACCAAAATGGATGAAAGATCTTGGGAAGTAGGAAGAAAATGTTCAAATGGGAAGGGGGACAAGGGAGGAGGAAAGGGGGAAGAGAAGGGAAGGAATGGAAAAAGAAAAGAAGGAAACAAATGGAGGCAAAGCTTATGTAAATAAGGAGGAGAAGAAGGGTTGAAGGGAGGGGAGGGGAATGTGTAAAAGAGAAGAATCAAGATATATTATGTAGAAGGCTGGGGATTTAGCACCACGCCTGTCTCACAAGCAAGGTCCTGAGTTTGATCCCTGGTACCAAAAAACAACAACAACAAAAAAAAAAACCAAGATACATTATGTACAGGTGCAAATTCCCTATGATGAATGTGATCATTATGTGTATCAAAAGTATACCAATAAAATTAATTTTTAAAAGAGGAACTATATAAAAGCTGTGGGTCAGATGCAGGAAATTAGTTAATTATCAGATCCTACTTATACTTAATATTCAGTTCCTGTGGCTTTCTCTTGCCTGAGTTCCCAATCCTTTGCTATTTCAACCTTTTACATAGTTTCTTGATCTCGAAGATACTAAAAATGATCTGTGCCACAGGTCTTAATCCTTGATGTGCAGGTTTATCTTAATTCCAAACCTGTTTCTTCTGATCTCATGGTCCTATTTTCCTGTCCTGCACCTGTCATCCAAGCACATATCCTTCAGTAAAATATAGACACCACTAAGATCCACCAATGTCTGTAAACAACATCATGTAGAATGGGTGTATAATAGTAAGAGTTGGGATTACAATTTAAATCATGAAATCTGTATTTAACAGGCAATGACGTAGAGGTGTTAATAATCATATCTATTCCAAAACTGTGACCATTAGATAACAATATGTACTAATAATTGCTAATGTAATATAAGTGGTTTTTCTTAATGTTAATCTTTCTCATCTTTAAACACCATACTGTTGAGCCATCTCATCTTTGTATAACATTACTGTTCCTTTGTGTTAGTTTTTATGTTTCTTTCACTTCCCTTTGTAGTAACAGAACTGTTCCTAATTCCTAAGAGATGATGGAGGATTCAGTATGTAAAGATTTTTGTCATGCATTGCCACTGTGAAATACTTGGTGTTTCCTATTTACTTTGTTGTTTTATTTTTTGGTTATGTTTTGAAATACAGTCATGTTTTGTTTTATAAAAAAAAATCATATTTATTAAGGGGTTTTTAGAGGGGCTGAGCTCAATGCTAAGTGTTTTACATACCTGATTTCACTGAATGCTCACAATCACTCTCTGAGGCAGGGATTAATAGACCCATTTCAAAGATAAGGAAAATGAGGCTTAGATTAAGTCAGCCACACAGTAAAAGTCAAGAGTTGGATACAAGCCCAGATCAAGTGAACTCCATACACCATACTTTGAACCACTATGCATTACTACCTAAGTATGGAATTTCACATAGTCCCAGAAAACCTGAAAATACAGATCCACTTCATTTATTAGCTAAGTGACCTTAGACAGGTCACTCAATCTCTTCAAGCCTTGCTTTTCTCATTTATAAAATGAAGACTATAACTTCCACTTATGTCATGGAGTTCCTTCAGGGTGTAAAAAAGGTAATATAAAGGAAGATTCCATAAATATTAACCATTGCTATATAAACAGATATGCTGTAGTGGTTCCATGTCACTCTTAGGGCCACTGACAGTGCTTTCTTTTTTGTAAGCATATTCCTGGACATGAATTCACATGAGAGATGTCAAGCTCTTATTAGGGAGAGGACAATGTAATGAACTAGAAAAGAATCTTAAGATAAACGTGAAAGCAATAGGAATAAAACACACATTTCTCCTGAAAGTAGGCAAGGTAGGAAATATTACCTGGCTCAAGTGGCTCCATAGGGTCAAAGGTATTTTTCTCTGAGAGGTTACTCACAGACAAACTGAAAGGGACTAAAGCAGGGGCAAAAGAAGCAGGTGCTGTAGCAGTCCCCTCTAATGGAGGTAGTGTTCGCATCATTTGAATAGGATCTGGGGATCTCTCCTTTAAAACAAATAGGTTAAATGAACTGTCAGATGACATTACATATAACATTGGCATAAATTTCCCTGCAGTTGCTAAAAATATTTATGAGAAAGACTTCAAAGTCTGCCAACATTTCACAAATACTCTTTTTTTCTTTTTTTCTTTTTCTTTTGGTGGCCGTTACACTGAGCCACATCCCCAGCCTGTTTTTGAGACAAGGTTTTGCTGAGTCACTAAGCTGCCTAGGCTGGACTTGAACTTGTGATCCTCCTGCATCGGCCTCCCCGAGTGCTAGGATTATAGACTTGCACAATCACACCCAGCTCATTTACCTAATAATCCCCAGGAATTCAAAAATGTTTTGTTCTGTTGTCTCTGTATCTTAGTTACTCTAAACTGTTTTTCACATGTTGGGGAATAAGTGTGTGTGCATTTTCTTTGTAAAACAAAATATTCTTCTTAGTAGTAAAAAGCCAGAGTTAACCTTTTAATTTTAAAAGGAATGAGTTTTAGAACTTGAAGTAATTTTCAAAAAAAGGTATGTCTCCTTTAAATATTTAACATTTTCTTTTTTAAAAAAAGTGTCACTGAAATTGTAATTTTATTTTATTTCATTTTATTTTTTGGTACTGGAGATCGAACTCGAGTCCTTGCGCTTGCGCAGCAGGAGGCGAAACCACTGAGCTAAATCCCCGGCCCTGAAATTGTAATTTTAAAGCACAGAATGAGAATCTATAAATTTAATTGAGAATACTTCCCCTCTCAAACTGAGGTCCTTATTAGTTCTCCATGTTTCACTGCCCATGGTATATAACCTTTCACTGCTCATAAGGCCTAACTAAAAGACAAAAGAATATAGCATTAGGCAAGATGATTATGTCCTAGGGACCGCTATACAATATAAAATAGTGCCTATATTAACAATACTATATTGTACAATTAAAAATCTGTTCCATGGGTAGATCTCATGTCAGGTGTCCTACTACAATAACAGAAAGTATGTAAAAAGTTAGATTAGAAGTCAATCCATATACAGTTGAAAAAAGCAGCAGTCACTCTAAGGTGATAAATAGGGCCTATAAAAGGACACTTGATATAGTATTACTGTCTGTAAGTCGAAGTTATCATGATAATTTGAACTCCACACTTTTGTGTCTTTAATAACTTCACTCTGAATTCCTCTAAAAGTTTAAAAGCCTTCAACTATAATTACTTTATTAGCAATCATAGCTGAAAACATACTTTTTTGATTTAAAAAAATAGAAGTTTTTCTTCACATTTTCTTTGCAATTCTAGATCACATTATTATATAGGCCACAACTGTACCCGCTCTCTTCGTCGCAAACGTGCTGCTAAAGTTCTATGCAGTACATTTCCTGAGATCAGATTGTCAGAGGGTAGCAAAGGAACTGCAGGTAGGCAAAAATCATTTATTTCATTGAAGTTACTTTCTCCCACCACATTGATGCGTGGAGAGGCAAAAACTAGTGTTTGACATCCACCACAAGCAACCTACAAGCATAAATTTAAAAAAAAAATTAATTGACATAGGCATCAAACACAAATGGATTTTTAACAGTTATCAGATCAGCTACAACTCATTTACTTACAGGTAGACTTCCTAGACTGACTCATAAATTATCTCTTCTCTCTTCTTCTTTTTCTTCTCCTCCCTCCTCCTCCACCCTCCTGCTCCTCTTCTCTCTCCCTCTCTCCCACATCTTTCTCTCTCTCCAAACACACATATGAATTAAAATACATAATCTTTAAACATTATGATTAAAAATTAGAACAAGTTTAATCCACCATTTGCTTTCAACTTAATATAATACAGAGAAGAAATTACTCATATTTCATGTCTCCTTACAAGTTTGAAAATGTTATATTTTAATATGTGTGCAACACTAAAAACTTAAAATAACAGTTCAGTGAAGTTCTACTGGGGAAAAAAATGATCCAAGGATAAATCAGTCTCTTGGGATAAACAAAGTCTTTTTTGTCACATGAACACTTTCTATGTTTAATGCTTAAAAGTCCTTAGAGGAAAATGTAAGCATGAACGATGATGGAACAATGAAAAATGACATAAACCTTCAAAGAATTTTGAAAAATAAATGGATTTCAAGGAAGTGCTAAAAAACCCAGAGTATTTTTAATACAAAAATTCTAGCCACTTTTTAGTGTTCTACCTGGTGGTGTAAGAATAGCATATTCTGCACCTTTCCTTTATAGTATTTTCAAATTTAAAATTTACCTACACTTTTTGTAACTTTATAAAATTATTATCCCCATAATACTATAAGCCCAATGAAGAGCTGGGCATGGTAGCACATGCCTGCAATCCCAGCATTCAGGAGACTGAAGTAGGAAGATCATGAATTCAAGGCCAATCTGGGCTAAACAGCAACTTCAAGGCAAGCCTAGGCTACATAGTGAGACTCTGTCTAAAAAAAAATTTTTTTGGACCAGGGATTTAGCTCAGTGTTTCCACCACCTGCCCTGCAAGCACAAGGACCCGAGTTCGATCCCTGGTACCAAAACAAAAAAAAAAATTTAAAGACTATAACCTCAACGAATGAGGAGGTTGGTCATTTCGTTCACTGCTGGATATTTTGTATGCCTAAATACTTTGTCTACTCTCTTGCACATAGCAGGCTTTCCTTAAGTGGTTGTCAAATGAATGGAAGTGTTCTATAGTATGAGACAATGTGTCTTTGAAGAAGAAATAGTTTCATGACCAAGTAAACAGAATTTTCACAAGTCTATAGTACTTTTTACTAATAAAAAATATTTACTTAGAGACAATCAGAATATCAACAAAACAGCTCCAACTTTTTGTTTTACAATTACAGAGTGGTATGTGTAAATACCAAAGAGTTTCTCTAGTGTGAGAAACTGAAAGTGTAAATAAGGACTAAATGGTATAATAGATAATGTGAAATAGGAAGAAAAGGGGCAAAGGGGAAGAGGAAGTGGGAGGGATAGGGGGAAGGAAAGAAGGGAATGGAATTAATATGAGAAAATGAAAAAATGGAAACAAAGTCTTTGTAAATAGGGATGGAGGGGTTGAAGGGAGGGCAGGGGAAGTGGGAAAAATAAGAAACAAGAGAGATTATGTAAAGGTGCAAATTTCCAATGATGAATGTCATTATATCGTATACCTAAATTGTACCAATAAAATAAAATTTAAAAAAACAATTACAGAGTGGTATTAGTTAACAGAATAGGAAATGTTTTGTATAAGCTGTGTCAGAAACAATGCAAGATGAAAAAACTACCATACCCATGTATAACTAATACATGCTATGTTCAAACAAGAACCTGTTCTAAATTTCCATGCCATTTTACAACACCCATACTGTATCAGGCAGGGTTATTAGCTACTGAAAATGCCACAAGGACAGGGCTATCTCAAGACACACTTGGTAGTGTGTTAACCATACAAAACCCCGTATAGATTAAAACACAAATCTTAGATAGCTTTACATTTCATGTTTTTTTCCTTAAAGGAGTGAATTGCATATGGGGGGGATGCCTTCTAGACAAAAAAAAAAAAAAAACCACAACTGTGCTAAAGCCAACTTATTCATCATTATCTTTTCATCTTCATCTCCTCATCCCCTTTTTGTCTTCCTTGTTCTTTTTCTTGCTTTGTTCAGCCTTAATGACTCCCTTTTTTGCTGCATCAGGTTTTCCTTTATCTCAGTAATCAGCAATATCCTTTTCTTAGTTCAGCTAAGCAGCTTTCTTAAGTCTTCCTGTCATCTGCAGCAGTAATATTCCACATCTCTGCAATAATACTAATGGATAGGGTGTAATGTTCTCATTTGATTTTTGGGTGATACTCAAAGAAGAACAAGGCAAAAGGTTGCCACTTAGATGCAATAGGATCCTTGGCTTTCTTTTTTGCTTTCCCTGTAGGAAGGATATAGGTTTTCATTTCTCTTTCAAAATGGTCCTTGTCCACTTTTGCCATGTCTTCAAATTTCCCTTTCTTACCAGCACTCATGGTATTCCACCTCTCAGAGCACTTCTCAGAAAATGACAACTTGATGGAAGCATCTGGATTCTTTTTCTTGTGCTTCTCCTGGCAAGTTTGCACAAAGAATGCATATGGTAAGATTTTGCCTCTCAGCTTCTTGGGATTTTCTATGCCTATGTTTACTTGTTTTTCCTCAGAGAGGCACAGGGTCATCCAGTGCTGTGACACTGTCTCTATAAAGCTCACTGTACTGTAAAGTATGTGAAAAGTCTACAGTTCTTAACTGGCAAAACTATTACAAACAACAGAGAAATGGTGCTGATGGTGATGTGACACTGAAATGATACATTCTTATCTGAATAATGCTTAGCCAATGACATATTTTCTTTTTTTAATTTTTATTTTTTATTACTACATGTTTTCAATACATAATGATTACAATCCTCGTGGGAAGTTGGTATAATACATGTACATAACACATCTAAATTCTTTTTTTTTCCTTCCCCTTCCCTCTCTCCCCTCTCCTTCCATCTCTTGGTTCCCTTCCCTTTTGCAAAAGATGTATGTACCTTTTATTTTACTTTTTATGTTTTGGGTTTCTCATATAAAAGAAACCATATGATACTGTATTTAAGCTTGTGTGTCTGATTAATTTCACTTAACATCATGGTCTCAAGGTACATCCATTTTCCTACAAATGACTCAAATATATCCTTCCTTATGGCAGAGTAGTACTCCATGGTGTATAAATACTAAATTTTCTTCATTCGTCTGATAGACATATAGGCTAATTCCAAGATTTAGCTATTGTGAGTTGTATGGCCATAAACATGGTTATTTATGTGTCACTGTAATATAACTATCTTGTAACTCTTTCACAAAGATACCTAAGAGGGGAATAGAAGAGTAGCTAAGTCAAATGGAATTTCTATTTTAGGGTGTTTTGTTTTGTTTTTTGACATAAGGTCTTGCTATGCGGTTCAGGCTGGCCCTGAACTCACTATGTATTCCAGGCTGGCCTCAAACTCATGGCAATTCTCCTGCCTCAGCCTCCCAAGTACTGGGATCACAAGCATGTGCCACCATGCCTGGCTTCTATTTTTAGTTTTTGAGCAATATCCATTCTGATTTCTATATTGGTTGTACTAGTTTGTAGTACCACCAACAATGCAGAATTCCTTTTCCCCAATAGCTCTGTCAACATTTGTTACTATTTGATTTCTTGATGATCTCTATTCTTTCTGGAGTAAGATGGAGTCAGTGCTGTTTTAATTTGCATCTGTCTAATAGCCAGAGATGCTGAATATTTTTTCATATATATAATGGCTATTTATACTTCTTCTGAGAAGTATCTATTCATTTCAGTTGCCTATTTTTTGATTGGGTCTAATTTTTTTAGTTCTTTATATATTCCAGATATTAGTCCTCTGTCCAAAGGAAAGCTGGCAAATTTTTTTCCCATTCTGTAGGCTGTCTCTTCACTCTATTGGTTGTTTCCTTTGCTGTGAAGAAGCTTTTAAATTTGATGTGACTCCATTTACTGATTCTTGAAGTTATTTCTTGTGCAATTGAGGTTCTGTTCAGAAAGTCCTTACCTATGCCTATGACTATGTCTTCAAGAGTTTAACCTATTTTATTTTCCAGATTATTTTTGTTTTAGCTTTTAGATCTCTGATCTATTTTGATTTTAGTTTAGTACATCGTGCGATACATGTTCTAGACTCAATCTTCTGCACGTGGAAAGCCAATTTTCTCAGCACCATTTTTTAAAGAGGCCATCTTTCCTCCAGTGTGTTTTTAGCCTCTTTGTCAAAGATCAGATAACTGCATGCTTCTGCATCCTTTACTCTATTCCATTGATCCACTTATCTGTTTTTGTGCCAGTACCATGCATGCTGTTTTTTCTCACTGCAGCATTGTAATGTAACTTCAAATCTGGGACTGTGGTGCCTCTTGCTTTTTTCTTGTTGCCAAGAACTGCTTTTGCTATTCTAGGTCTCTTCTGGTTCTATATGAATTTTAGGATTGCTTTTTCTAGATCTGTAAGGAATGTGGTTGGTATTTTGATTGGGACTACATTAGGGGTCTCCCTATCCAGGAACAGAGGATATTATTCCATTTTTTGAAGTTCTCTTTAATCTTTTTTAGAGTACCGTAGTTTTTGCTGTAGGGGTCTTTTCCTTCTTTGGTTAGGTTAATTCCTAAGTATTTAATTTTTCTTGTTGCTATTGTAAAGGTATTGTTTTCCTAATTTCATTCTCAGTGCATTCATTATTTAGCCAATAGAACGTATTTTTTAAAAAAGTTTACAGGCATGGCACAGTCTGGCTTTCAAAAGACATGAGAATCAAAAGAGTTAATATTTGGGCAAAAAGGAATATATTAAAAGAGGAAAGTTAAGAAAGGAACAGATTTTTTTAGTGATATAATATCTGGCATGTGGCTCTTAGAAAATTAAATTGATTATACATATCATATTCTTTCAAACATAAAAACTTATTTTCTATGATACACTGACGCAAAACAGAAATATGAAAATGTAAAAACGAGAATGTGATACCCTTACCAACTGAACTGTAAATCTCAAGAATTCGGAGCACACAATGGGAAAGAACTGATTGGTAAAATTCTCTACTCCAAGTCCTAATTTTCCATGCCGGCCATCTCCAAAAGTGTACACAAGGCCTTTATCTAAAATGCAAAAAAAGAAGAGAATTATAAAAGTATTACTTGTATCCCTCTATGTGTAAACCAATAAGTAAATTAATTTATATTGCAATTAATAATTTTCCCATCAAATTCTACATTGAATTCACTTTGATCCATTGATCCACACTCTCTATGGTGTCTAAGGTCTTACACATAACAGAATAAACCACTAAACCTGGAAGTAGCAATACAACACAGGATGTGTGATATACATATTATCAAAGGAAACAGATGCTTCTATTTTGACCCCCCTCTACCCCAACACAATCTATTTTCTTCTTTCCTCAGGTATTTGATGGATCAGAGTTTCTCAACCTCAACACTTGTTATGGCTTATATCTAGATGTCCCTCCAAAGCCTGGTGTGGTCATAGGTAGGGAGTTTCAATGGTAGCTGGATTAGGGTGTGTAAACGTGGATTAAGGGTGTGGATAATGGAAGTCCTATCCTGGGTATGGGTGGCACCAATCAATAGGACTGTAGTCTGGATGGAATATAAAGGGATAGAAAGAAGACAGGCTTGCTGCTTGGTGCTCATTGCCTTCTGTTTGCCACACCATGAACTGTTTCTCCACTATGGTGCCCCTCTGCCATGCCACCCTGCCTTGGAACCAGCCAACTATGAACTGAAACCTCTACAAACTGTGAGCTGAAATAAACCTTTCCTCCTTTAACTTTGGGTATCAGGTATTTTGTTTCATCAATGAGAGAAGTAACTAAGACCGCACTATTGACATTTGGGACTGAATAATTCTTGCCTGTGCTGGGTCTATTCTATGCACTGTAAGATGTTTACCAACATCCTTGGCCTCTATCCACTACATGCCAGTAGAACAACATCCCCTTTCCTGGAGCTGTGACAATCAAAACCATCTCTAGATTTCACAAGCATCTCTTGGGGAAACAAAAGTACCAGTTATAGAGAACTACTGACTTAGATCAATCTGTCTCTTCACTAATTTGGCTCCTGGGCTGTAGAATACTGCTTAAAGAAGTACCGTAAGCCAACTAACCACAATGACTAGTCTCTATACCAATAACTGGATCCACTCTATAGCTGAACCCATGATGTGATGAATAATCTTGTCACTTCTTTCCAGTTAACCTTTTGCCCACTACCATAGCAGTTATTCTGAATCCTCACTCCTTTTATCAACCCCTCCCTTATATGCTGCATCTCAAGTTAGGTTAAGAGCCATGGAAATAGAAATAATGGATGCTAATATGAGCATAGGGGAGGAGGACTTCCTTCTAGTCTGGGGATTAGGTCAAGCTTTCAAACTGAAACCTGAAGAATGCATAGGGTTTAGTTATAAGAAGAATCAGCAGTATATACGTAGATGGTCCCTGAGTCAACAGAAAACATGGCTCAGGCAAGAAGCTGAAAGTCAATCAATGAGCCTAGAGCATGGAAGGGAGAGTGGTATGAGATGAGTCTGAACAGGTAAGACAGAACCAAACCACAGAGAAGTACATTAGTTCAGATTATGAATTTCTAACCTCCATCTTAAGAGTAGCAAGAAGCCAGATGAATGGTTTTAATGATTAGATCACATTCAGGAATTTCTGGTATAAGAAAGCAAAGTGACTGCATACTGAGAACATTCACAAGAATTAATTCAAAAATCATTGGAAATAACATAATTCAGTAAGGTGATAAGTTTAAAAATTAATTTACAGGGGCCAGGGATTTAGCTCAGTGGTTTCACTGCCTGCTGTGCAAGCGCAAAGACCTCAGTTCGATCTCCAGTACCACAAAAAAAAGAAAAAGAAATTAATTTACAAAAATAAACAGATTCCATATAAAAAGTGCTAGCCAATATTTAGACTCTTATAATTATTACTATTAGATATTTACTTCCTTTCTTTGTATATATTCCTTATCAATTTTCTCCCTTGGGTTTCTTCATCTAAAAATGCTTTCTAAGATCTGCTTTTCTAATTTGGTTCATGTTTGTCTGAAAAAATGAACTCTGCTCCACGCTGCCTGATTGCACTTCCAATTCCAGAGAGCTTTTTCAAACATGAGCCACTGGCTATAATAAGAAGCTCCCAGGACTTTACAGACAACTCACTACATACCTCACATCAGTCTTAAAAGAAAAAAATCCATAGGGCCCGGGATTTAGCTCAGTGGTTCTGCCACCTGCCTCAGGGGCACAAGGTCCCGAGTTTGATCCCCGGTACCAAAAAAAAAAACAAAATCCATAAAAGGTGTCCCCTAGGAGGATATATGAGTAAAAAGCCAAAGTTAATGTTTAATTATTTGGGCTCTTCCTTAGGAGGAAAGGTATGAAAATTTAACTAAGAAATCTTTTTGTATGTCAGATGATACACAAAAACTGTGTACTGACTGTGTTTGCTATTAATGGCAATTTAAAGCAGATGAAAAATGGCATTAAGACAAAGAAGCTGAGGCTAGGATTCCACAGTGAAGGATACATACCAACAACTCTCAGGAGACAAGTGAATGAACAATACTTCTTCACTCTACATAGTGCTACTTCATTCTACATTAATAAGAACACTGATACTTCATATAGGGTAGGTTGTTTCCTCTGAAGGGTTCTGTGGTTCTATGGGGAAGAAGGAACTAAGTATCTTGCTTGTACTTGGAGGTTCCCACTTTCTCTAACTAGATATCATTAGATGAGCTCCCTTTTTAGCAATTTTTTAGAAAGAAGGAAAAAGCAGAAATTCAAGAGTTTGGATTATTTCAATATACTAAATGATATCTGAATTACTGATGCTTTACTTCATTTTTAGATAAAAATAGGGAAATTATGGACTCTTTTATTAAAAACCATTTAGATCTGTGGAGTATATCAATTATCTACAGGTAAGTTACTGAAACATTATAGGGAAGAATTTTCTTGAGTTCTCCTGAAGTTGAGAAGAAGGCCCAAAGGAACATCTCTTTGGATAAAGGAGAAGTCACAGAGTGAGTGATATATTCACTTAGTGACCTTTGAAGTGTCTTTTACTGTGGAAAGAGAAGGAAGATGTCAATGACACCTCCTGGTGGCAAAAGCATCTTAATTTATTCAGCCTGAATGTAGCTCTGTCAGATTAAAACAGGAAGGCTATTATAAGTTCTTTCTTGTGGGATGTTTCCCTCTGGCTTGACCAAAGTTAAAAGCCTTCACATTGATATAATTTCAAGAGGATTCCAGCTTCTGATATGTGTCCTATTTTGAGGTTCTAAATCTTTGGATGGCTTCCTTTTTTTTGGTGTTGGAGATTGAACCCAAGGCCTCCCCTATACTAAGTACACATTTTGCCACTGAGCTGTACCTCTATCCCCCACATTTAAATTGATTTAAAATAATGAAAAGGAGTTTATAACTTTATACTTTGGAATACTAATCAAAGGATTGCATTTTTCTGTTACTAATCCCTTTATTTAGATACATTCATTCAATATATTATTTTGTAATACAATATACCCAGTACTATCAGTATAAAACAGAAAATTTAATCCATACCTGTTATCAAAGCTGTGTGATTTTCTCCACAGGAAATATAAGTTATTTTCTGATCCTTAATTTGTTCAATGACTTTAGGTTCTGATGTTTCAAAAAGAAAAGTGCCAAGGCCTAGCTGACCAAACTGTCCCAGCCCAAAAGCATACACAGCTTTCTCTGAAAGGGACAAATACAAGAAAAAGATTGCAGGGAAGCAGATACTGTCACCATCATATCTAAAAAAGTTTTTACCATTTTTACCATGAAGGGTAATTGTCTCTGAAATAAACACTCATGTAAGAACTCTAATACTGAAGTATAAATTTTTCAATGATGTAAAAAGAGAAAAACGAAAAGGTACAAAATTACAAAAATTATAGCATGGGTCAAATTTTATCTTTCATATGTAACCAAAGAAAGAATTGCTATACATAAGCAACAAGTATGATATAAGATACCTAAGTAGAGAACTACCTGAAATGTCCTTATAATTACTATATCAGCTCAAAAAGTATCAAGTTTCATTAGCTAATTTCTTTCACTGTCACAAATAAGAAAGTCAATAGTGTCTCCTACAAAAAAACCCTTATTTTTAAAAGTAGCTTAATCTGTTTTATAAAATACAACTTCAGAAAACAATGTGCATGAGAATTAACACATGATGGATATGCTAGATTTATTCACAAGAAAGTTCATTTACTAGGAAATGCAATACTAATGAAAAGAAGGGAAAAGCATTCCTCTATATTAATATTTTCAACATATTCCAAAAAGCCTCCAGCAACTCAATCAATATTGGCTCATATATTTTCTACAAATGGAAAAGCACAAAAATAGCACACATAAGTGATGACAAAAGAGTTCTTTTATACACAATTTTCCTGGTCAATGTGTTAGGGAGCACAGTGTTGATCTTCTCCTTAATTTAGTGCATGGACTTTCTCCTACTACGTGGAAAAGAGCAAGAATTTCACACTAAGGCTAGAACACAAAACTACATGATTATTAGCTGTGGCAAGTAGACAAGTTACTTAGACTCTCTGATGTTACAATCCCTATCTAATAAGATTACAAGAAAAAACATTCAGGCAAATCTGAAAACAGTTGTAAAGAACATTTTCTATAAAAAGTAATTATTTATTCAATTTATCTAATTCTGACAACAAGGGTACATAACTGTCTATTGTCACACAGTTTTATATTTTTCTATCTAATAAGAATGCTTGCTTTATAAAATATAGATGATACTTCTTAAAGAAAATATGTTACAGGGCCAGGGATTTAGCTCAGTGGTTTCGCCGCCCGCTGCGCAAGTGCAAGGACCTGAGTTCGACCCCCGGTACCAAAAAAAAAAAAAAGAAAAGAAAATTATGTTACACCTAGGATACGAAGCCATAGTGAAGTAATAGTGAACAGATCTTTTATTTTAATATAAAAATACCACCTCTTAACTAGTAATCACATAACATATTTCCAATTCTAAATGTCCAGCTTTAATAGCAGAATGTTGAGTAAATTAAAATAATTATCTATCTGTAGCTGACCAACATACCTCTTGGACTATCTGATAGTAGCCTTTGAAATGAAGTTATTTAGGCAGCCTAGATCATATTACAAAAGTTTTATAATAAGATAAAGTTTTGTTAGGTTCATTTTCAGGTGCCTGGATGATTAATGATAGCATTTTCTATTTTGTTAAATAAGCTGAGAGTCTTCATATATATATATATATATATGAAATAGTATAATTTTTGGCTATAATCCCTTTGTGACATTTAACAATGTAATTTAATGTTAATATAAAATGCTACATTAAGAAAACAGATTTGATTATCTGGCTTCAGATCAATATTACTGTAATTTCATGGAATATAAGTGATTTTAGGACTAAATAACGTATTGCCCTGTAGAGAACTCAAGTTTGTTTAAACATAACCTGGAGAAGTTAAGATACATTATCAGTTGCTTTGGGACTCAAATTTCATTGTGAACCCATCTTATAACTAGACTTCCTCATCTTTTGGTAACTGCTGTGGACAAGAGTATATCCAAGGTTCCATCTGTCAGTCTGCCTCACTTAGTGTGCCCCATGTGCCCATATGGCCTTTTCCCCACAGCAATTCATTCTTCCTTGCTTCTAAGGAAAAAGTATAATCACACCATCCCTACAATCAATAGTTCTTATTTTTTAACCAATCTTGGTCATATGCCAATAGTATGTTTGAAATAAATTCATTAGTAAAGAACTAATTTAAATTATCTTTAAAATAATTTAAAATAAAGGCTACCCAAATAGGTTTTAAGATCAGAGTTATAGACATAGATAAGCAAAGTTGGTGTTTTTTTTGGGGGGGAGGCAGGATATACATAGAATCAAATAATCTAAATCCTTTCCTTTAGTGAAAGGAATTACCTAGAACAGATAATTAGCTATTTTTTCCTAAAGGCCTCAGAAAGTATTTCATAACTCTCTTACTATCCAATTTAGTACTCAAAGTGAAGTCCATTTATTACCTACCATTAAATATTTAATATTTCTGTCTATACTAGGTTCTGGAACACAAGTTCCTCATCAAGGTGGCTCAGAATAAAGCTTTCATGGGTCCATTGAATAATGTGAAAAACAGCAAAGCAGTGAATGCTTTCAAGCAGATAAATTCCTATAACTTAATCAGGTATCTTTTATTATACAATCAAGAGCTTTTAATTTTTTGTTTTCAAAATGTTCCTTATTTTATATGACAGTGAAAAGAGTCATTTTTTTTTAATGCCTGTACTTAGGTAAAAGCTAGTCAGAAGTTGGCAGCTACTTGTTTCTTATGTTTTAAATTTTAAAATTAGATTCTTCTTTCAAGTCAAATAAATTCTTCACTGTTTACAAGTTATTTATGAATTGCACAAAGTTTCCATGGTTTTCCCTGTATTATAAGCTTTTCTCCTGTATTTTTTCATTCAATGTTGGCTGCTACAATTGGGCAGATAGGAAATGCAAGGCTTTTTTTTTTTTGATACTGTGGAAAACCTTAGCAGCAGACAGCAACTGCTCCAGGTCTGTCAAAAAGATGCATCTCATAATTACAAAAATTTTTTTAAAAAGAGAACTTTACTGATATGTGAGATCCCCTAATCTGCAAAAATTTAGAGAAAATCAATTTCTGGAAACATGATTTTTAACCTCAAAACAAAGTCTGAAATCTAAATGTGTTTAATACTGCAAGAAAATATCACACTTTAAGGACATTTTAAATTTTAAGTAAAATTAAAAATAAAAATATCATGGATTATGTCCTTGCTCACTTATAGGAAAATATTTTAATATGTGATTGATTTTATATTGTTAAATAACCAATAACTGTGTGATTCAGAATAATGTTGAATCACCTACTAAACTAACTGTATAATCTTTGTAAAAACTAGATAGATAATGCATAAGTAGTATTTCTGTCTATACAATAAATTTTCATAAAATCTCAAAAATATTTATTCTAGACTAAATATTTATAAATTATCTAAAACTTCATTTTGTCAGCAAGAATTCAAAATAAATCTAAACCTTAGAATTTTTTTCTACTTCTGAATTCAGAGAGACTTTGAAAAAATTATTTCTAACTTAGAAAAAGATCCACTTAGAAGTTGTAGTTCAGAGAAAACAAAGCTTAATAAACATGACAGGGATTAGAGTAGGAAGCAGAGGAAAAACAATTCAAGAGAGGAAAATCTAAATGTAAAATATTGTTCACTCAACTTACAACATTAGAAAATTGGCTATCCAAAATTTGTCAAAAACACTTTCAACTTTGGGTCACTGAAGATTAAGTAATGATCAGAAACTGTTCATTTCTTTTTTATCAAAAAATATCACAATAATAATTTATTACAGAATTGCATCAGCACTATACTAGTCATGTAAAATTAATGGTGAACAAATTTTGGAACGTTAATTTCACAAAAATATTATCAAATAGTGAGTATATTTGAACATATTGACTTGGATCCTAGGAGGTGACCTGTCATGCCAAATGTGAAATTCTGAAGTCAAAAATGACATTACTATTAAGATTCTAAATTTCTTAGTATCTATAATTTAAAACCTTACTTTTTAATGAAGTACTATTAGCAGAAGGTAAAATCACAAAGAAATCCCCAAGTTATACCCTGTGAATCTCACAAAGAATTATCAATAACATGTAGAAAACAGTATGAATAGGGAGCTTCTCCAAAAGAAGGCATTTTAGAAAAGAGTGTCAATTTGCAATAAATATGGAACACATAAGTACATGTAAAAAGTTTACCATTGAAAATGAGCTGAAAACAATATTATCTGCTGCCATTAAACGTGTTGAGCTCATGAAAATGTCCATTATGTTAGCAGAAACAATTCAAGAAGATTCATTTTTTCTACTTAAAAATTCTTCCATGGGTTAGAAGTGTATATACATATATATTATATATATTAGGAATAAAAGGTGAGTTATCTTAATGGAAAGAGATGCAAGACCAGCTTCCATGAGGGATCTCAAAGACTTAAACTCACAGACACTAAGAATCAAATAGTGGTTGCCAGGAGCTGGTGGTGTTGGAGGAAGATACTATATGATATACACAAAGTATTAGTTACACAAGAAAGGTTTTAGAGAATCTGCTCTACAACATTGTTATCTACAAATAATACTGCATTATACACTTAAAATCTGTTTCAAAGTTAGGTCTCATTTTTAAATGTTTTCATCACAATAATAAAAAGATCATTTTTAAAAAAAACGTCATTAGCCACCACAAAAAGCAAGGAACAGAGCAGCAGGCTTCACACATACCTGTGAGAACCACAGTGTGCCCTCCACCACAAGCTACTTGGATCACCTTCTCAGGAATTCCAGCTACCAGCTGAGGTGTTCTATGATTGATCAGCAGCTCTTTAGGAAGACCTAATTTCCCACTCTCAGATTCTCCAAATGTGTAGAGCTCACCATCCACTATTGAAGGAAAAATATAGTGATTGATGAAGACATAAATATGAACAAGATACTGTTCTTTGGTATATGTTTTCATGCTCTATAAAAAATTTAGACAATGACAACTTAACAAATTTGACCTTCCTTGAGATATTTTTTCTGTATGGTAAGGTTTATTTCTTTACCATTTCTAGTATTGTTACATTTTCTTTTCCTCATGATTATTTTACTTCAACAATCTTCATGAAGAATTCATGATAATCACTACTGATAAAAACTCTAAAATCACTTTCACTTTCACAAAACATAGCAGTCTATCTTACATCTACTTTTTTTGTTTTGGGGTTTTATTTTTGGTACCGGGGATCGAACTCAGGTCCTTGTGCTTGCAAGGCAGGCGGTGGAACCACTGAGCTAAATACCCGGCCCTTACATCTACTTTTAAATAAGGCAAAAGAACTACATATTCAGCTCCTGTAGGAACATTTGTCTTTCTTACTATGAGATCCCAGAAACCTATCAGAGTGTCTAGCTCAAGCATTTAATGAATACTTATTGGGTGAACAGATAATTGCTTTTTATGGAACTTGTTTTAGAAAACTCACTTATTTGTGAGGTATATATTTCAGTGAGTCTAAAGATAGCCAATTTTACTCAGATAGATGGTACTTCCTCCAGAAAGATTCTCCTACTAAGGAGGTCTGACAGTGGCTAACTTGTCCACAGTGACAATACTGATTTCCCTCCATATCCTACATAGCACATTATAATATGACTACAAGCTTCTTGAAATCAGGAACTTACTCATTTCTATAATACTGCCACTTACTGAGTCACACTGAACAATCACTGTGCCTGTGAAATGGGATAAAAGTCCCTGTGCTATAGAGTTGTTGTTTCATAGGAACAAATAAATTAATGCATTCAGAAGTACCTGGAACACAGTCAGTGCCCAGTTATTATTTGTTGCTACCACATCTTTGTGTATGTGTAGAAAAACTGTGTGCCAATATAAATAGATCAGGCCTGTAAAATCTCAAGATCAAGATCCAAATTCTGGTTCTGCAACTCAGTTTCAGCACCACCTTGGATAAAGCTGTGTCCTAATCCTGCCTCGATATATGGACCCAGAGGCACATCACCTCTCTCACAAAGTTGTGAGATTACAGGGAATAGAGTGTTACTTAAAAATGCTTTGTAGACGGCAAAATTTTATATATCTTAGAGTTGGGATAATGTAAACTGGAGATTAATACTGTTTTGATCAACTTGGTATATAAGAAAGACCCTTTAAGATGAACTTTATGTGGTAAGTTGCTAAATCATTCCCACAGTGTCAACTTTTTAAGGTAAAATGTTTACCTATCAAAGGTTACAAAAGATATTTCCTGTAGTCATCAGCAAGACCTTCTTTAAAGAGAAAAGTAAATGCTTTTAATCCATATGAAGTGTTCCAATTAATTCCAAATTCTTTGTCTTATTTACACACAAAAATAAAATAACATTTATCACGAATAAAGAAGTAGATCATTTCATCTTATGTATTTAGTGTTACTTCACCTGAGCCTATTAATTTTTTATCAAATCTGTATTCTTCAGACACCAACCTGGCTCTGATTTCTGCCTTCTCCAAGATTCTAACCTTAAGTGCTCTGCCAGGTATCTCTTCTCCAATCTTTGAAGACTGCTCCACACATCTTTGCCCCTAGTTCCAAAAAGTTCAATTCATTCACTTATACCCGCTAACAGTGCTGCACCTAATTCCCTCTTACCGTTTCAATCACTGATTGAAATGCTCAGACCCAACCATTAATGCATCAAATGAAAAGATAGAAATCAGGAACAATACTCAAAAACTCCACATATTTTACTTCTACTATTTTTTAAAAATTAAATATTTTACATAATTTAGTTAAGCATTCAAACATATTAGTAAGTTACACATTTGTTGAAAGTCTTAAACATGACTTTCTCACTGATATGTTTTGCAGTTCCATTAAAAATTAAACTGTTCTCGGGGAGACTGAGGCAGGAGGATTCAAGCCCAGCCTGAGCAAATTAGCAAGACTTTGTCTTAAAATAAAAATTTTAAAAGGCTGGGGATGTAGCTCAGTGCAAAGGTGCTAGGTTCAATCCCCAATACTTCAAAAAAAATTAAACTATTCATTTTGGTCTCCCAATTCAATATACAGAGAGAAAAAGGTAATTTCAATATAGTTCTTTTCTATATAACATTTTTATGTATCACGAAATCTATATTAAGCAAAAACTCTACATTTGAGTTATTTTCATGGTGTGTAAAAAGTTGCTTTAAAAAATTAAAGTCATAAAATAAACTGATAAGTTATAAAATTACTGACAATTTATATCAGCTGATATAAATGAATCTCCAGCAAAATGTTTAGTATAAAAGTTTGTGGTATGTACAAACCTGTGAATATACTGAAAAACATTCAAATGTAATTTTAAATGGATGAATGGTATGGTATGTGAATTATATTTCAATAAAGCTGTTCTTTTAAAGATACAAAAAAAAAAAAAGCTCAATTTATGCCTGTTGGTTGAGATGAACCATTCTGCTTGCTTCTTTTATGGCTAAAGCAGAGTTTACTAATAAAACTGACTCATTCTCTCAATGGACAATATTTATTGATTACCAGTTTGTTCAAGACACCAGGAACACAGTAGTGAACAATACTAAACTGACAAACTCAGGTTGGCTCAATCTTGGTATGCTGGCACACAGGACACTGGGACTGATCAATCAGCACTTTCTAAACGTGATCTGTGGTACATACAATAAACAGTAAATATGTAAAATAAAGACTTAGATGTCTAATAGGATCCACAAAACTATTTCCTTTGGTATTTTTACTGTTAGCATAATCATCAATTAGATGAAAAGCTATAATCATACTTCACATGTCAAATACCTTACGACACAAAAGATTGCCAGTGGGCTCAGGAAAGAGAGAAACTTGGGGATGCTGAGAAAAATCCCACCAAAGAAAACTGTATCTCACACTGCGCTCTCCTTTTTCATCTAGTCTTCATCTAGTTTCCCACGAGGAAAGAATAGGGCTCAATGTATTTGGAACAATAAAAGAAATTATTACTATGACAGCAGTGTAGGCCAAGTATAGAAACAAGTAGTTCCAAAGGAAAGTGACCCATAGGTACTATTTTAAATGCCACAGGGGCCTAAGAACTTTGAGAACCAATTTTAGAAACCCTTCTAAGTATCAATTTTAATTTTCTAACAGATTTAGCATTCACTTAAAAAACTAACACGTCAGAGTTTGAAATTACAAGCTTTCATTATAATAACAGAGAAGCACTGTGAGGTAAAACAGACCGAAATCATCTCATTACATGGACAAACAGCATTACTCCTATAGAACTATAGCATGTTTTATCATTATTAATTTAGCGATAACTTTGAAATGAGAGAGAACATTATAAATCCAAAATGTTCTGTCTTACTTGTTACAAAAGCCGAATGGTAATATCCACATGCGACCCAAGAGATTGGTTTCCCAATGTTCACTTGATGAGGGACACAAACATTAATTATATTATTTAAACCAATTTGTCCTTCAGAATTGTCACCCCACACAAAAAGTCTTCCATCTTCTATGAAGTAAACACAAAGAAAGAAGGTTTTTAAAGGTGGCAGGGTCATTTATTTTTTAAATTGGAAAAACTGTGTTTGGAAAAAATAATACTAAGACATTTACATCAGCTATCTACGTGAGAATTCAGTTTCAACTGTGTAATGTTTCCGAAATAATGAAAAGAGAATAACTTGATTGCAAATCACTTTAGTCATATCCATTTTTTATTCTCAATGACAAACCCAGGAGGAAATTTCTTATAATCACCTTGTTCTTTTTTTTTTTTAATTCTTTTATTGGTACATTTTAGGTATACAACACATTTACATTTCTCATTGGGAACTTGTACCTCTACATGATGCATCTTGGTTCTTATTTTTTCCCCATTCCTAGCCCTCCCTTCACCCCCTCCACCCTTCCCTAT